TGGGGCTGTATCTCCGTGGGGGCGGGGTCACACACAGCCTGCCCCGCCCCCAATCTAACTCTCCCCCTCTCCCTCCCCCCAGGGGCGCATTTCAAGTATGAGTTCGGGGAGAAGGAGCTGCTGTTGAAGATGTTCCAGGACCTGCAGGCCAAGCCCCCCGAACCGGCGCCCGCCGCCCCCCCCTACCTCTGCGGCAACCTGGCCTCTCCCCGGGGGCACTTGCGCAAGGCCGGCCCCCCGGCCCCGGCTCTCCCGCTGCTGGAGGGCACCCAGAACCTGGTGGGGCTGGGCCGGGCCCAGAGCCGCTACTGGACCTTCTTTGGCTTCCAGGGCGACGCCTACGGGCGCATCCTGGATAAAACCAAGATCATCTGCAAGCTCTGCGGGGTGCGGCTCTCATACAGCGGCAACACCACCAACCTGCGCCAGCACCTCATCTACAAGCACCGGCGGGAGTACAACCAGCTGGTGGGGGCGCCGGACCCCCCCAAGGGGGCGCCGCCCCCTGCCGCCGCCCTGGGCAGGACCACCCGGGCCGTGGCCGACTTCCTGGTCTGGGACCTGATGCCGCTGGAGGTAGTGGAGGGGGAGGGCTTCGGGCAGATGCTGAACGCCCTGGAGCCCGGCTACAAGCCGCCGGCCGCCGCCTTCCTGGCCCACACCCTGCTGCGGGAGCGCCACCTGCAGGGCCAGGCCAAGGTGACGGAGCTGGCGCGGGGGCTGCCCCACTGCGCCCTCAGCCTGGACCTCTGGCACCACAGCCCCGGCCTCTCCTACCTCACCCTCACCCTGCACTACGTGGACGACACCTTCGAGGCCTGTGCGCGGGTGCTGTGCAGTCACCCCGTGCCGCAGGAGCCGTCCCCTGAGAGCCTGGCGGGGGCGCTGGCCTGGGCGGCGGAGGAGTGGGGGGTGAGGGAGAGCGGGGCCTACGCCGTGGGCCCCCACGGACCCGCTGCCCGCCAGGCGGCCGCGGCGCTGGGCTGGCAGGCCCTGCCCTGCGTGGGGCAGGCCCTGGGGGGCGCCACGGAGGCTGTGCTGGCCCTGCCGCCTATCAGGAGCGCCCTGGAGCGGTGCCGGCGCCTGGCGGCGTGGGCGCTGGCCGGGCCGGGCCGCGCCGAGGAGCCCCTGCTCCGGGCTCAGCTCAAGCGGCTCCTGCGGGACGGGGCCCTGTGGCAGAGCGTCCACGGGCTGCTGCACGGGCTGCTGGAGCAGGCCGAGGCGCTGGGCGGGCTGGGGCCCGAGGGGGAGCCGGCCCTGCGCCCCCAGGACTGGGTCGCGCTCCAGGACGCGGCCGACGTCCTCAAGCCCCTGGCGGTGGCCGCCTCCACCTTCACCAAGGAGCCCTTCGCGGGGCTCTCGCTGGTCAAGCCCGTCCTCACCTCCCTGCTGTACAAGCACCTGGCGCCGGGCGAGTGGGACTCGGAGCTGGCGCGGGCGGCCAAGGGGGCGGCCCACCGGGAGCTGAGCCGGCACTACGCCGAGCCCGAGGTGGAGCGCGCCCTCAACCTGGCCTGCGCCCTGGACCCCCGCTTCCGCAGCCTGGACTTCCTGAGCCAGCCCGACCGCGCGGAGACCCTGCGGCTGCTGACGCTGGAGGCCGCCCGCCTGGCCGAGGTGCCCGGCGCCAGCCCCTCCCCGCTGCCCCCGCCCCCCAAGCAGCCCCAGCAGGACTCGGCCATCGAGTACCTGCTGGGGGACCTGTGCAGCGTGCGGGGCGGGGCCGGGGCGGGCTCGGTGCAGCAGCGGGCCGAGCAGGAGAGCGCCAGCTTCCAGACGGCCGGGGCCTCCTCCCTGGGCCAGGAGCCCCTGCAGTGGTGGAAGACGCACCACACCCAGTACCCGCTGCTGGCCCGGGCGGCCCGCCAGCTGCTGTGCGTGCCCGCCACGGCCGCCCCCGCCGCCTGGCTCTTCGGGGAGGCCGGCCAGGCCGTCTACAAGAAGCGGGCGGCCCTGGCGCCGGAGCACGTCGACATGCTGGTCTTCCTGCACGGCAACCGGGCCGTGCTCTGAGCTGGGGCAGGGGAGCCCGGCTGGACCTTCTGCCCTGTGGGGAGGGGGCCCCGGCTGGACTGTCTGCTGGGGGGGGACCCCAGACTGTACCTCCAGCCCTTGGGGGGGGGGACCCCAGCTGTATCTCTTGGGGTGGGGTAAGGGATCTTGGGGTGTACCTCCTTCCCCGGGGGACACCCTGGGGTGTACCTTCTGCCCTGGGGGCAGGTAGGGGATCCTAGGCTGTACCTCCTGCACGTGGGGGGGGGGGGGGACTAAGGGTCTGTGTCTCCTGCCCTGGGAGGGGGGACTTGTGAGAGCCCCCCTCCATGGTCACTCCCTGGCACCAAACACGGCACATCCAGCGCTTCCGAGCCTCATGGGGGCTGCCCCATGGGCCCACCATCCTGGTGGCAAACAGCCAGCCCCCCTGGGGGGGAGGGGACAGTCCACCAGTGCTGGGGTGTGTGTGCTGGAATGGGGGGGGGGGCGAGGGAGGAATCGTCCAAGTTCTTTAGCTGGAGGGGAGTGAGAGAGGGGCCATAGGCAATGGGAGGTGGGCGAGAGAGGAATAGTCCATGTGCGGTGGGGGTGTGTGTGGATGTAGGGAGGAATAGTCCATTTGTGCTGGGAGGGGGGGAGTGAGGGAGGAATAGTCCATGTGCGGGGGGGAGTATGCCTGAGAGGAATAATCCATGTGTGTGAGGGGGGTGTATGAGAGAGGAATAGTCCATTTAAGCTGGGGGGGGTGAGGGAGGAATACTCCATGTGCGCTGAGTGAGGGGGGATACTCCATGTGCGATTGGGGAGGGGGTGGCAGAAAGGAATAGTCCATGTAAACTGGGGGGTGGGGTGAGGGACCAATAGTCCATGGGTGCTTGGAGGGAGGGTCACAGCACAAGGACAGAACCGGAGCCTCCCCCACTTTCCTTTGGAGCCATCTATGGGGGGGGGGGAGATGTGCTTGGTACCCCCCTGCACCTGCACTGTGATCACTGAATGTCACGCCCCACCAGCACCCCCCCCTGCCCTGCCCCCAGGTTCAATGGGGGACTCCCCATGCACCCCCTCCCCCGCAGCAGCAGCACCAGGATGCAGCTAATTGCAAACCAAAGAATGGAGCCCCCCCAGCTCCTGCACCCCATCCCCTGTGACCCCCCCCCAGCCCTGCACTGCCCCCTGCTTGCCCCATTCATGCCCTTGTGACCCCCAGCCCTGCACTGCCCCTGTGACCCTCCGCCCCCCCAACCTCCCTCCCCCAAGTTCTCTGTCCCACCCAGTCCCTTTCGCCCCCTCCCCGGCCCCCCTTGATCCAGCCCCACCCCGCATGTGCACGTGAATGCTGAGCTTGTACCCCCAGCGTTTTGAAGTCCAAGCAGAAATGTTCCCACGAGGCTAAACCCGGCCTAGGCCCGGCCTGCGGCCTGCGGGTGGGTGGCCGGGGAGCCCGCGGCGCCTTCCCCCACCCCCGCCTGCCGCAGACCTGGGCTGCCCATGGCAGGAGAAGAAACCAGAAAAACCAAACTAAAAACGAATAAAAGAGTTTCTATTTTACCAGAGACGCCTGCAAGTGTAACCGGGGCGGGGGGCTGCCCTGGGGGGGACTCGTGCGGGAGAACAGGCCTGGGGGGGGGCAGCTGAGGCCAAGGCGGGACCAGCCCAAGGGGCCGTGTAAGGCCCTGGGTGGGGGGGAAGGGGGGAGACTGTCCCAGTGTGTGTGTCTGGGGTCAGGGATTTGCATGTGCCCCCCACCCACGGTGATGACCTTTGACCCTCTAGCACCTGGGTGATGGGTCATCTCTGGGGATCTGTTCAGACCTTGGGGGGCGGGGGGGGCCCTGGCAGCCTGTGACTAGGGTGGGGGGCACTGGGGGAGAGGGATTAACCCTTTCCTTGCTGCAGCAGGCAGCCAGCCTCCTCCTCCATGAAAGCTGGTTCTTGGGGATTGGAGGAGGGGGGCTCCCCAGAGGTGGTTCTTGGGGGTGGGAGTAGTTTCCCCTTGAGCAAATACATGTGGTGATACATTGTCAGGTGTCGGGGCATGGGGGGGTTGAGTCTCTGGGATGGGGGGGGCACGGTCCCCCAGAGCCGGTACTCACAGATGGGTGCAGTCATTGTCCTGTCAGCAGTAGATGGGTGGCTGATGGGGGTTCGGGAACCGATTCTCTGGGGTGCAGGGTTTCTGTGGGGAGGTGGGTACTGGGTGTCTGGGCTGGGGAGGGCAGGGTCCCTGAGGGGGGGGCAGGTGCTGGGTCTCCGGGGAGTGTGCAGGGTCCTGGGGGGGACAGGTGCTGGGTCTCTGGGCTGGGGGAGGCAGGTCCTGGATTTCTGGGCTGTGGAGGTGCAGGGTCTCTAGGGGGGTGCAGGGTTTCTGGGCTGGGGGAGGCAGGTCCTGGATTTCTGGGCTGTGGAGGTGCAGGGTCTCTAGGGGGGTGCAGGGTCTCTGGGCTGGGGGATACAGGGTTCCTGGGGGAGGCAGGTGCTGGGTTTCTGGGCTGGGGGGGGTGCAGGGTCTTGGGGGGGCGGGTGCTGGGTTCCTAGGGGGCAGGTGCTGGGTGTCTGGGCTGGGGGGTACAGGGTCTCTGGGCGCAGGGTCCCGGGGGCTGTTGCTGGGTCTCCGGGCTGGGGAGTGCTGGGTGTCTGGGCGCAGGGTCCACCCCCACCCTCCTAGAGCCGGTACTCGCAGACGTAGTACATGCGCCGGGCGCAGTCGTTGTCCCACCACTTGCCGTCGTCGGAGGAGAGGGAGACGCAGTTCTCCCGGGCGCCCCCGTTGGGCTGGCTCACCAGGTGGTCCTGGTACCAGTCGAAGAAGGAGACGCGCTGGCCGTTCTCATACAGCCACAAGCCCTCGGCCCGCCGGTCGTGGATGCCCACCCAGGCCGGCCAGTTGTGGGGCTGGAAGGCCTCGTGCAGGTAGCGGCGCAGGGCGGCCAGTTCGGCGGTGTCGGCCGGCATGGCCAGGTTCCCGCCCCGCAGCCGGCACAGCTCCTGCGCCCCGTCGTAGCCCTCGAACTGCTTAACGATCAGGAAGCATTTGGCGTGGAACCTCCGGCCCCGCAGGCAGCCTGCAATGGGGGGGGGGGCACAGCCTGTGACCTCCGATTGCCCCCCAGCTCTGCAAAGTGTGACCTCTGACCCCTGACCGTCCTCCTGCCCGCCCCCCAACTGCAACCCGCAGGTGAGTACTTCCTCTGCCCTGCCCCCCAACCTCGCCCCTCTCACCCCACGGGGGGGATGGGGTGAGAGGGCGACCTTTGCACCTTGACCCACTGCCCTTTGCCCTTTGACCCAGGGCCTGTTCCACGTAACACAGGGGCGGGCTCACCCCGCTGACCTTTGCCCTCTGACCCGGGGTGGGCTGCTGTCCCCTTTGACTCCTTTTCGGTCCACAGCTGGGTCCCCCTCTCTGCTGACATCTGTGTGAGGTTAGCCCCATTGACCTTTCCACTTTGACCCAGAGCGAGGCTACACCCTCTGCCCTTTGCCCTCTGACCTGGGATGGGGCCACCCCTCTGCCCTTTGCCCCCTGGAATGTGGCTGTCCTGTTGACCTTTTCCCTTTGACCCAGGGTGGGGGGCAGCCTCTGACCTTTCCCCTGGAGTGGGGCCACCCCCTGACCGTTGCATCCTGACCCCATGGGATGTGGCTATCTGGCTGGCCTTTCCCCTTTGACCCACCTCTGACCTGGGGGGGGTCACCCCTCTGACCTTTGCCCTCTGACCCCACGGCTGGGGCTATCCCTCTGACCTTTGCCCTCTGCACCGCCCCGCGCTCACCGTCGATCTTGCCGATGTCCTGCTGGTTGCGGGTGCTGGTCTGGTTGAGGGCGCTCAGCCCCTCCTGGGCCTCGGCCAGGCGCCCCCGCAGCTCGGCCAGGCCCTGGGAGAACTGGGCCAGGCGCAGGTCCATGGTGTAGAACTGCACGTTGAGCCGGTGCACGGCCGCGTCCAGGCTGTCCAGCCGCGAGACTGCCGGGGGGCGGGGGGAGAGGGGCACAGAGCGTCAGACACGCAGCCCCTCCCCCGGAGCCCCCCAA